TCGCCTGCCCGGTCCCTAGACATAAGCGTAATTTCGTGCTCCGCAACCAAGGGCAAGTAAGATTGGGTATGCATAATATTATTATACAAGCTGGTGCACACATACCCAGGAAAATTAAGTCCAATTTCGCCTGCCCGGTCCCTAGACATAAGCGTAATTTCATGCTCCGCAACCAAGGGCAAGTAAGAGTGGGTATGCATAATATTGTACAAGCTGGTGCACAGGAAAAGTAGGGTGTTACCGTAGGCTGGACAGGGTCCGGGTATCGATGCAAGTTGGGCGCAGTGACCGGGTATAGAGGGTATTTCCCGTCTTTAGTAGGGTGATCGCATTGAGCTAAGAGGCTACTACATTGTCGTTGTATTGATGTGTTGGAGACTTCAGTGTTTTCTCTGCCGAACTTTGCTCCTAATTGGTGCGCATTCACAGCTTCAGTATTCTGCTTTCGACTCCGTTCAATCATGCTTTGTCTTCTATAAGATTTGCATTCTAGAAAAAAATAAAAATTGGTGTTCTCATTTTTTGGTTTCTCACAAGCAAGTCAGAGTAACATGATTAATTGTTGATGCTTCAATGAACCAACACCGGCAAGGGATATTTTGTGACATCTTTAGAGCATAGCACAGTGCACACAATGACACAAGGCGACAAGTTATGTATGATAAACTCTAGATGACACCAGTTGTCACAAGATATGATCATCCTGTCAGGTCGACGAAGACGAAGACGAAGACGACGAAGACGAAGACGAAGACGAAGACGAAGACGAAGACGAAGACGAAGACGAAGACGAAGACGACGAAGACGAAGACGAAGACGAAGACGACGAAGACGAAGACGAAGACGACGACGACGACGAAGAAGAAGAAGAAGAAGAAGGAGCCGAAGAAGAAGTTGAAGCAGCGAAGGGGGAGAAGAAGAAGAAGACAGCTGGTGGAGGACGGCGGGAAGGGGAGCTCGAAATGGGGGCAAAGAAGAAGAAGAAGAAGAAGAAGAAGAAGAGGAAGCGAAGTAGAAGCGAAGAAGAAGAGGAAGAAGAAGAAGAAGAAGAAGAAGAAGAAGAAGAAGAAGAAGATATATGTGTATATATATACATAGAAATCAAAGCAGGGGAAGAGAAAGGGAGAGGAGGAGAAAGGTCGAGAAGGTGTGTGTGGGGGGGGGGGGGGGGCAGCCTCTTGCCAGCAAAGCAGTGGCTCGAAACAAGGAATTCTTCAATTCTTGAAATTGTGGGCTAAAGTAGAGGGATGGATGGCAGGGAGTATGGGAAAATAAACGCGATACCTGAAGTTTAGGTCGCCGATTGAAGATGCTATCCCATCCAAAGAACTGTGGAAGCATGTAGTTCATGAAGACAAAGTTCGGAAACAGTGCCGTGTCACCTGTATCATGACGTCAGAGTTCACAAGCCCAACCACAGCAGAGCAGAGAAGAGCGGAGTAGAGCAGAGAAGAGCAGAGTAGAGCAGAGCAGAGAGTGTGTTGGTCACTCAGAAGAGAACGCGTTGGTCACTTAGCAGAGAATGCGCAGACACTGTGTGGCGTCTGCCTATCTATCGGATAGGCATGGCGCAGATCCAAGAAGTCACTGAAGTGTGAGGAAACAACACTGTGAGTGACAGGACACCGAGAAAGCACAGATCTGAATCATATGACTCTGGACATGACACACACATGCATCATCAGAGACATAAGATGGGCAAGGTGGGTACATACATGGAAGAAAGCTACCGCCATGCCCCGCACACATGAGCACATACACCACGGATGATGGAAGTGAGGGATGAGACGAAAATGGGATAGCAGAAGACGGAAACGAAGAAAAAGAAGAGACTGCAACTCAACGTATATCAGTCGAATGATAACAGTCACTTGCAATAGTTCCAACAATAGTCTCAGTGCAGATGTCGGGTTCAAGTCTGGGGATTAGCCCCGAAGATAGTCAGCAACTCTCTCTCTCTCTCTCTCTCTCTCTCTCTCTCTCTCTCTCTCTCTCTCTCTCTCTCTCTCTCTCTCTCTCTCTCTCTCTCTCT